GTTCGGTAACCGGCATATTTCGACATGTAACATGGTTTAATATTTGTTGAACATCCGAAGCCGAGTCAGCAGCTTAATTCCTTGTCTTCTCTTTTTCAGTTCATGGTGCTCTTCAAGCGAGCTGCCCAATCGGTCTTAAGAGACCGAGTATTCACTCACCTCCGGTTTGTGTCCATAGCTTCTGTTGGCCTTCTCATCGGATTATTGTACCACGGTATAGGAAATGACGGCAACAAAGTCTTTAACAACACTGGCTGTTTGTTTTTCTCGCTTCTCTTTCTTATGTTTACCTCTCTCATGCCCACCGTTCTAACATGTAAGTAATCCGTCAAATCTGATTTCGTTCGAGGTTGATGAGTAGCCTTTTTCCGTTTTCAGAGCGCTTTTAAGAGGTTTATGTTAATAAAGCGAGAGTTTCGGGTTGATACATGTCAGAGTCAAACACTCAAACGTCGCACTTCACATGTAAAGAAATATATACTTGTGAGCGACGACAATAGATTTCGCCCCTTAGTATTGGGTTCGTCACATGCGAAGTTCGACGTTTCACCTGTGACCCTGGCTCGTCCCCAGTCGTCTTTGCGTACACGCACGGCGGGAGCACGGCGTTTTCCTCCTTCCCATGACATCCCGCGCAGCACTAGGGGAAGGTTGTGAGAAACGACTGGGATGAGTCAGCCTTTGATCAGAGTAGCTTCTGATTTGTTCGGCGAGCACGCAAAGTCTCAGCTCAAACACAGTCGTTTTTGTCTGGTCAACAACGCTCCTCCCTCCCTCACTCCCCCTTCCCCTTTGGGGAGGAGTGTTGCGTAACGAGACAAAAACGGCTGCGTGGGAGACAAGCAAATAAGTATTAAGTCAGGTGCGAAAACGCGCGTAAAGGCAAGTAAACGAGCGCCACTCATTTTCGCGCTGGACAACCTAAAACCTCCCGTTACGCAGGCTTTTTGAGCTGTGCCATACTTTCCTCAAAACATCTTAATGCATTTGTTTTTTTTTCTCCAGTTGTATATAAGCGATAACTTTGTGTTACAGGAGATCGAGTAATTTTAAAACTCATGCTGCAATTTCTTTTACAGTTCCGATGGAGAAACTTGTCTTTATTCGCGAACATTTAAATAACTGGTACAGTCTCAAGTCTTATTATTTGGCGAAAACAATGGCTGACGTTCCTTTTCAGGTAAGATGCATGAAATGACATGATTGTAGACCATATTATTAAACTGCAACTCACCTGTAATCGAGGCTGCTGCTCGAATACCTTATATGAGCCTCGGCCGCATGCCAGTAAGTAGTTCCATTTAGTTCCTGGACGCCGTGGGCCCCATTGCTCTCTAAACCGAGATATTTATACGCTGATATATAAAAGTCTGACTTGGACGATTGGGCGTTCAACAATATAATACAAAAGATCAAAGGTATTGAGTGTCCGCTTTTGTCCGCTGAATAGGGGGAGAATCAAAGGCCAGCAATACGAGAAGGGTTGCATGAACAGGTGTAGAGCTACGTGCAGAATTCTTTTTTTAGCAGATTCGTGGATAAATCAAGTCTTACATACTTCTCCAGAAGTTCCTCCCGTCAGGAAAGTCCTTTATAGCTTCTCACGCTATTTTTAGGGCTCGCATTTGACCTGTCACGGAGTGTAACATCTATTCATTGAGTGTTGCCCGACATACTACCAAATCTTCCAACGCCAGTTGAATTTATGAAGCATCCCGATTGATCGTTCCCTTGACTTTTTCTCCCCCGGCAGATTCTGCTCCCTGTGATCTACTGTTCAATAGTGTATTTCATGACAGATCAACCCAGTGAAGGATTGCGTTACACACAGTTTCTTTCCATCACAATACTCACGTGTCTTGTGGCTCAGTCAATAGGATTGCTCATAGGAACAGTGGCGCCCAGTCTTCCGGTGGGTATAAGAGTTACTGAGTGTTTTCCATAGGTTTTTTAGCCCACGTAGCAAGCGGGAGTTTCCGCTCGAGTTATTGTGCAAAAGTTGGAGCGAGAGCAAAACAAATGGAAGAAGGGAGGATAGGAGGGGAGAAGAGGAAACGCCATTTATTTTCTCCCCTCTCCTCCTTCATCCCTCTTTTTCGCTCGCGCGCAAACGCCTGTTACGCAGGCTATAAGTTTATAGTAAATACCACTTCTGGTATGTGGTTCACGCGCATGACAGATGGTACAACTCGCACTCCTGACTCTAATCGTGACTTTCCCAAAGACTTTTGAAGGGCAGAATTTTTTTGTGCTTGAGTCGTAGCCAAGTGCGGTATTAAGTATTTCGAGTTCATTCTTAGAGCAGTTTTCACTTGACTGTCGTAAAACCAAAACCAAAGTAAATACACTAGCCAACCAAAGGGCGTAGTAAAACCAAAACCAAACCAATTCCTCAATTACTTTCGACAGTCAAGTGAAAACTGCTCTATCTACAGCCAGTGAATACATTTATCCACCTGAGTAAACCACGAAGCAGAAGTCTGTACCTTAGTTTTGAAAATTTAAACTGAATGCTCTGCATTTGAACAACAACAGCAGCAGCGGCGGCAACGACGTAATGAAATCGAAGTAAGGGTGGATTTCCACTGTCGCGTAATTTTTACGTGCGTACGCGCGTTCAATGTACGTACCTATATGAAATAGAGGCAATGTATGAAATGCCGCGTGTAGACGCAAAAATTGAGCAACTTTCAGCTTTTACGTTTACGCGCGATCTTTCATGCAAGGCCTCTACTTTATTTACGCGCGTACCCACGTAAAAATAATGCGACCGTGGAAGTCCACCTTAAATAAAATAGAGGCGATATATGAAAGTCTGCGCGTAAACGTTAAATCTGAGCGAGGTTCAACTTTTACGGTTACGCGCGACCTTCCACAATGTATAGCCGCTATTTTATTTACGCGCGTAAAATTTTACTTGCGTGCGTATTAAAGATTGCGTGACAGTGGAAATCCACCCTAAGACATGAAAGCAAAGGTCATTCAAAATTAAGTTTTTTGGATGCTTCCAGAATCTCAATCAGCCCATAAATCAAGTGGAACATCTATCAAAAAAGATCCCTTAGTGAAGCATTCCATTCCGTCCGGAAAAATAGGTCTGGGGATCATTTTGATGTTTACAGTAAAATAGGAGTCGTATAAGTGATCGCACAGGCCTTTACTCTGTTGTTTCGTCTCTTCTCGCAGACTGCCGTTTACGTTGCTCCGGTGACTGGTATCCCTGTGCTTCTCTTCAGCGGTTTCTTCGTAAATTTTGACACCATTCCGAAATACATGCAGTGGTTAACATACGTGTCATACGCGCGCTACAGCTGGGAAGGGACGGTGTGTGCCATATATGGAAATAAACGAGGGCCTCTAGAATGCAAGAACAAGCGGTGTATTTTTACCAACAGCGAAGATGTTTTAAGCGCTATGGATGTTGAGGAGAATGCGCTCTATTTAGAAGGCGCCAAGATATACTTCGACGGTTTTGTGCTATTTTTATTCTTCGTTGCACTCAGATTGGCGGCCTATTGGGTATTGCGGTACAAAGTCAAGTCGTACCGCTAGCAAAGACCTGTTGTCCAGCACGAGTGGAAAGCGTTCTCGGGCTATTTTCCATTTGCAAGCTTTGACTGTCTCTAAAAGCTAGCTTGCTGTGGCTTTGTGTTGATTGCGGGTTGTGTCTGTAGTGTGCTCTATTGTAGCCTGCTAGTAAGCTCTCCATTTGGGGGGAGTCGCGAGAAGTCACGCGAGTGTCGCACGCGAAAGGAGACGCGGGTATGAGGGGCGCGCGCGTTCTCGTGGCTCGCTTCGCTTGCCATAATTGGAGAGCTTGCTCGCAAGCTAGTTCCATGGTAGTTCTATTCACTAAAATTTTATAGATTTAAAAGATTTGCGAAATTTTGTGCGATGAAATTATTATTATTATAAGGGATTTTTAAAGGGTACCGTTTTAGGCATCCGTTCACGTTTCATGAATAAAAAATGTAACGTTCTCAAGTAAATTAGTAGCTTTAAGCAGTCCACCATGAGACTCACAATTTGCTAACAGCGTTTTGTAGTTTTCAAGAATACGCATGCGCATCATCTAAATTGCTACCACATTGGTGATGAATGAAGGCTCTTCTCTCCATGCAAACAGCAAAGCATCATAACTGTTTCGATTATCTCACACGCACACCAGACCATAAAATAGTCGATTTGCAACGAAAAATCGCGTCCGGTGTGGTTAGATCATTTGTTACTAATCTCACTTGCAAGTGTAAAGTTTGTACTGAAGACTTCTACAAAAACCAAATTAATATGCATAATCAATAGCACCAAAGGAAACTCTTGAGGACTTCATCCACAGACTCAAAAGTTTAGAACCTCCTTGTACAGCATCATAAACTTTACCACAGGAAAGTGCTGCACGGTAGCTTTAATTTGAATGATCATACTATAGGATTTCATCCACAGACGCTAAAGTAGGTGAGAACCACCTTTTACAGCATAATACACAGTACCACAGGAAAGTACTGCTCAGTAGCTTTCATTTGAATGGCCACACTTTAGGATTTCATCCACAGACTCAAAAGTTAGAACAACCTTGTACAGCATGATTAACAATACCATAGGGAAGTACTTTTTGGCGGGTTTCATTTGAATTATCATACAGCAGATTTCATCCACAGGCTCAAAAACTTTTATGAACTTTTAAAGTATAATTAACGGTACCACAGAAGGGTACATCCTTTGTTACCCTTTTAAGTTTCAGAATATCTTCTTGGTTAGACGTTTAATTCTATGCTTGTTTCTGAGTAGATATTCAAACAAAAAACGAGGACAAGCTGCGGTGAGCCGGACTCTTGTGCTTGTTGGTTTGTTTTAGTCACCTTTTGTTGTTTCAGAAACATCGAAATGGCTGGACCATTTCCAAAGGTCATCTGTAATATGCGGGACATTATCTCCAACGTTTCGATAACAACAAACGACAAACGTGAAAAATCTTGTCAATTTTTGAGCTTTCACCGTTAACAACTTGATGTTGTAAACAGTATGTTGGATTTACCCTAGGATTTCATCTACAGACTCGAAAGTTAGAACCTCCTTGTATACCATAATAAATGGTACTGTATTGGAAAGTATTACTCAGTAGCTTTCATTTGAATGGTCACACTTTAAGATTTCCGATCATCCACAGAATCAAAAGTTGAGCCACCTTGTACAGCACAGTAAACAAGACCAAAGCAAAGTACTACTCAGTAGCTTTCATTTGTAATGAATGGTCGTATAATCGGATTCGTCTACAGACCTCAAAATTATAAACATACTAATAATAAAAAAAACAGTACTACGGGAGCTTTCTCTTGAATTGTCGTGCTGAAGTATTTATTCCATTAACGGAACTCTCTCTCGATGTTTGTAAATTGTCAGTAGCATGGTTCAGTTGATTGGGAGTGTGGTCTTAAATTATCTTTAATTAAACACAACTAAATTATGAATTAAAAATCGGGCCGGGATTTGAATCCCCTGGTTTGAGTATGTTATTGTTTTGAGATTTCCTCCCTCCTTAATAAACAGGGAATTGTCCTACCCACAGTCTTCTGGCCTTTTGGTCAGCACGAGATTGCTGTTCACACGGAACTGACAAACCAGGTTCAATTTTAACTTTTGTCAGTGGTTTTGCCATATGCTGGTCATGCGCAGAGCACTACTCCTGCTAGTCCAAAACGACGTCTCCCAAAGATACCTCGCATCCATGCAACCACGCCTTTTGCCGTTTAAAAATTCGACAATTATTGTGTTCACACTGCGCCGGTCCTTTTTTTTAAACTTAGTCCATCCTCTTTCCTCGGCACTCTGGCAGCGGGGCGCTAAAAGGGGGAGCGCCCCGCCGTCAGAACGCCCCGGAGGGCCTGGTCGCAGGCAAGTCGAAAATTGAACAGGTCCGAGTGAACGTAACCTTAAAGGGCCACAGGTTAATATTGTGTATCAGTTTCCAGAACTGTCAAGTGTCACCTTCAAGTTACTTTTTGGATGGAGAGAAAGCCAGCGACGACTGGACACAGTGGCGGATCCACTGGTCTGGATCCGGCACTGGGACATACGTGTGGATTCGTAGGCTACCTTTACCGATTAAATCGCCCAGTTCCTCTAAGCAGCTCTTTCGGTAGGGGCGTGCCACCTCAATCCCCTCCCCGGCACCCCAGAATGTAATGCACTGGCATCTTGCCCTTTTCTCTGTTTCGTTCTATTATAAAGTATGGGAACCCGTATTCGCGGTCGTTATAAAGTCCCAGGAAGGAGAACTTCTTTGTTCGGGGCTTCTAGGTTATTTATTGCTGATAGTATACTTGATGGACAAAGTAAAGTATCTCTCAAACATATCAATAAGTCTTGGGGAAAAATTAGCACGATTAAAAGTTGAAATTATATCAATATTATTAGAATAAAAAAAACTGTAGTATATTTTTATATGAAACTTCATGGTTTTTTCCTCTTCTTTATCAGCGCAAAATTAAACTGAGGCGATTTCAAAGTACGATTGTTTTAGCGTGTTTTTCACCCTTGGGAAGCAGATAAAGTGTTCGTAACTGGACCTGGTCGCTTGCAAGCCGGATGGTCTTGAGCTGAGAGTTCAACTTGCGTTTTGTCCATGGCCATCCTCTGTGTAACCTGGGACGTCGGTGCTCGGTCGGCACACGTCGGTCTTCGGCCAAACAAACGACTTAGCATTTTTATATAAAAGTAATGTTTCGTATGCTAGTCAACATACATTTTCAAAAGTGATATAAAGTGACCTTTGCAAATTATGACAAGACTATTTAGATAACTTTTGAGAATGAGTGTTGACCAGCATACGAAAGATCAGTTTATATGTGAAAGCTCACAATGTTTATAACTGCTGTTTGTGTTTTATTTCTGATTATTATTCATTCAACATATTTCTCCGTTTCTGATTAGCTATATATCCTTACGCATAATTCACCAAACCAGCTACTGTTGACCAAATTTGGAAGAATTTTGCGTTGAATCAATGGATGACGTCGAAAGTGCAGCACAGTTGCGGGTTAATGCACCGTCAACCGAGAAGACCTGGAGGCGAGGTTGAGTTGGTTTGGTTGTGAAAAGAAAAATGGCCGAACAGTCGGCGGAACATTTAACTCGCTTCACGACGAACTATTGTCTAAAAACTTGGCAAGAAGACAACTCGACGGACAACATATCCTATTTGGAATATATTTGCAGACCTGAACGGCCCTTTATCTTCCAACATGCACTATCGAGGTGGACTTAACATCGACGAAGGTAAGCATGTTTTAGCTTGTTTTTAAACTAGGAATTATTTTGAATGAATAATAAAGCAATTAATGAATTAGGCTATCGTCGGATATAAAGAATTATGCAGATCTCGAAGGGTGTAACACCCTCCTCGATCTGCATAATTCTTTATGTCCAACTCAACCTCATTCATTAACTGCTAATTAAGGTACGATGGCCTAAGAACAAAAGCCTTTATAACGACTTGGCCCATGAGGGGGCTCTCGCATCCGTTTAGATTATAGGCGTAAGGAATGATTAAAAATTACTTCCTTTATCCCCTGATGAGTGGAAAATGCTCCTCAGCCAGGGCATCAGACTTTTCTTAGGTGAAAGGGGAGAAAAGTTCGATACCAAATCCCCTCTCCCCTGTAATTGCCCCTTCGGATAACCTGTTGCTAAGGTTGATAGGTCTTCCCTTCTAATTACCCCACTAATCCTCTTCCTCGCCACCACCACCACTACCTTTATTAAGAGACACTAAGAGAGAATAAAGGACCTCTTCTAACCTCTCTTGGTGGCACTAAGTCCTCTAAGGTCAGGCTTTGTTTTTGTTTCTATGGCTCGTTCCGCGTAAGGCAATCTTAGAAAATAATGTTTTCTGGATCGGATTACACGCTGTGGATTCCAGATTCCAAGACAGTAGGACTTGGATTCCGGATCCTTGAGCTAAAAAGCCGCATTCCAATTCCTGATTTACCAATCAGATTGAAGGAAAAGTTTAAAATGCACTTTTGGTAATTCGATAATTCGTTCGGGACCCAGATCAAAGATCTCGCCCAGCTTTTCAGAAATTACTGAGCCGGGTTTAGATTACGTCTATGACGCAGGGCAATTAACCATTTGAACCCTAATATCAAAATTGAGATTCCTATTTACTGCCTCCATACTTTTTCAATATAAGAAGTGGGGAGAATTTGTTGACATATCAATTAGACTCATCTTCCCTGATTCATGTACTCAATTCTCATGACCACTCTGTTTTCTTAAGCACTGATATTATAAGGAGAAATTTCATGCTGATCACTCTTAGGGCTTAAATGGTTAATGAAAGCAATAACTCCATGTGGATTAGTATCATAAAGTTTTGATTAATTGCCATTCGTATAAAATCCGACCGCAATGTTGTTTCATAGTTAGCGAACAACAGCAACGCACTTTATAAAGAAACAAATATTTACAATTTGAGTAGTACCTATCCACAAATAGTTAAAACTAGTCGAGGCGGGTAGGTATAGCCTGCAAGCAAGCTCTCCTATTTGGGC